CTCTCTCTCTCTCTCTCTCTCTCTCTCTCTCTCTCTCTCTCTCTCTCTCTCTCTCTCTCTCTCTCTCTCTCTCTCTCTCGGCAACCGCTCACAGCCGTAACAAGAGACACACTACAGCGGAATGCTCCCATACCATAAGAACGGGTGGGATAACGTCTTTTTATAGCGCACATCCCATGGAATAGGCAGGTAGCAGCATCCCTGTTTGTGCGCTGCGGCTTTTAATTTTCTGATTTCTTTTTTCTTTTCCCTATTATTTTTTTCTCCATACTTTCGCAGGCAGATCAGAATTGGAAGCCGCGCCAGCCAAGGTCGGTCCCTACGTTGTCGAGGGGTCCGTATCACGGCTGCCGTCCGCTCCCCGACCACTCCCTGCACCCCTTGCCGCCATAACCCCGACGAGCATTTCCAAACCGGCATCGCCCTGCGGCATCGCCCCGACGGCAGCCCCGAATTTCGTTGCAACCATCCTCGATCTATCCGTGGACGCACGAGCCAATGTGTCGGCAGCCCTGTCCAAACCCTCACACAAGGCCCTCGTGGACTCCTCCATCACTGATGTCATGCCGTACATCGACGTCGGAGAATCCCCCCCCCGGTCTTTCCCGCTTGAGGTACGGCGTGTCTTCGTGGTGGTGTCCAAAGCATCCGTCCCAGCACCTTCTGAACGTGCCTCGCCGCCACTCGGTGATCAACCCCCTCTCAAATCTTTCGAAGCCAGTGTGTCGTCACACGTCATTGACTTCTTCAACCGATACCACTCCATAGCGTCCCACAACTACCGCTCGAACGTGAAGCTCGCCCCTAGCTTCCTCGTTGTTCCGTGGTGGTGTCCCAGTACGCTTGTTTCCCCGACCCTTCGCATGCATCCCAGATCTCCCTCACCTTCTTCACCAGCTCGATCAATTTCTTCCTGCAGTCTCCTGTTGACCTGGAGTAACCGATTCTCTAAGCCTTCCTGCAACCCACTCCCATCTTTTCGACCTCGTCATACACGCCTGAGCACCTTCGCCGTCCTCCATAAGGGCGTCGTTCTCGACGAACTTCGCGAGGTCCAATCTTTCCTCCAAGACCAGGGGTTGTTCTTCTTCGGCGGTCGTGTTGAGCTGCCCCCCTTCCTTTTTTGGCCACCCACGAGACACGCTTTGCTCCGATGAGCGACTCCTTCATGGCACTTGTCAAGCGCGAAGGGAGTCGTTCCATCATCATCATCCTTGTCTGCTCTCTCCCCACGCTTTTCCATCCCTGGACCCTCGAGACAGGTCTCCCTTGTCTCGTCGGCCATGTTCCCCGGAAACCCGGTTGTGACGTCGCTCCTACCTTCTTCCCGCCACTGGCGATATCCCCTGTTGTACGATGCGCAAAAAAGGTCAGGTGAACTGCTGTCCACCCCCCTCACCTGCATGTGAACCGAGATTCTCCTCTGGGGGACTTCTGTGTTTCTCGGCGCTTATGCAGCTCCACGGCTCGACGCCATACCGATTGCAGGAGACGTGCCTTAACGCACTCTTCAACCCCCCCAATCACAGGCAGTTTTGCAGATTGTTGATCAGTCACTCCATGCGGAGTTGGGTGGTCGGAACAACCCACTGTTGTCGTTCTGCGAACAGGAACTGGCGAGATGGAAGGCATCATCCCCGCCTGAGGCTGGGACAACTGTCGTGGATGATCCGGAGGGGAACCCCAAATGTTGGCACAAGCCATGGCCGCCCCTTCCCGAAAACCTTGCGGATGTAATGGCGCGTGCGCCATGCTGTTTGCACCTTGCGAACCAGATCTCTCCCGACCATAACCTCCGAACGAACCTTTGTCGACACCGGCCTGCGGCACGTAACACCATGAAGGCACCGATTGCACCGACTCGGTGCATGGTTGTGTGCAAAAACTCGCGTCACCCCCGATGTCAACGAACTGACAAGACCCCCCCAAATCACTATACAGTTCATGAGTGAAAGTACGTCCTTCCATGACTTTGCACGTGTCCCTACATACCGGTGGTGCAAACAAACAACAGTGCAACCGACGCGTGGCAAGGAGAGCGACCACTACAATGCCCAAACAGAGGAGAACAACGACGGCGAACACAACAAACACGGACACAATGACAAACAATCCCCAGAGGAACATCTGCAAACCAACCCCCCCCCCCTCTCACGGTTGTCGACGTCGATGATGATCACCGTCGTGCTGGTCGAATCTTGCAGGCACCGACACGGACAAGCCCTTCCACCACCCAAAACACCATCTTGCGATGCAGTCGATCATGGTGGGTGTGCGACGTACGGTCGTGCATAAACCATCCCCTCAACAACCACGTCTCGGTCTGTCAACCCTCCCTCCACGATCCGCCCTATACCGCCACAATGTTGAACTGCATGCGTGATGTCATTCCCTTCGGGCATGAACCTTCTATCGATGACACTGGTGATGTTCGGA